CCAGCGCCCGCCCCGCCGGGCGCATCATCGTCCCCCAGCGCTGCAGCTCAGGGAAAAGCCCCCCCAGCCTTGTCCCTGCAGTCTTGCCGAGTTTCTGTTGCAAAATGTGGAATGTGTATTTTCTTGACGAGGGATGTGCTTTGATGTTTGATCTTTGTATACCTTCAAGCCTAATCAACAAGAAAGAAGTTATAATCTGTGAAACAGAGAGCAGCTACCTAACAAGGTCTAAGTGAAGTCCGCCTGTGGGAAAGAGAAATTACTTGTCATGAGAATCCCTTGTTAAGAGTTGAACATGTTTTAATGATCTCAAACCTAGGGGGAGTTTAACAAGGCTTGGAAAGAACAATGTACTTCTGATAGTGGATACATAAAATACAGAATTTATGGGCCACAAGGGCATTTGTCAGAACTCCCAAGATAAGGAAGAAACTAAAAAAGCCCACTCAGCAACTGTGCTGAGATCAGCTCTGAACGGGTATAAGACAATTCTGGCAGGGAGAGATTCCCACACTGCTGACTCACAGCCCACCAACTCAAGAAACCCAACTCAAAAGAAGACAGAAGACGCAGTGAGCATGAGAAGACGGAGAAGCATTAACCAATAGAAGAGAGAGTATTGATTATTAAGAGAACCAGACAATTTGTAGTCAATTAACATTAATGCCTTTGCTTGCTAAAATGAATAAATAGTAAAAACTTGTTATTGATTTTTGGAATACCACCAAGCAACCAGGCTTGCACAACTCTGAAATTAATAGTCAATGTCTCATTTAAGTGTGTAATTATTGGTTCATTGCACACTGGGTAACAAACCTAAATTTTCTGGACAACATTTCCACTGGGCTGGCTCCAAGGCAGCTGCACATCAGGGACATGGCTGGGACACCGTGAGCAGGGGACAGGCTCGGAGGCCCCCGAGGCAGCAGCGATTGTCTGAATTGTGGGAAGCTGGGGCTGCAGCCCTGTGCAAGGCGTGCAAGCACTCCTTGTGCCAGGGGCTCTGAGTGCCAAAAACTGGGATATCTGTGAGGGATCCTGACACTACATGGCCATGCCAGGAGCTCATCCTCAGAGAATACCTCATGGCGTGGAGTCAGTGCCCATAGCCCAAGTTTCTGGTGGCACTCAGCAGCTGCCAGTGTTGTCTAAATACTTCAGTGAGGCAGGAGAGAAACAGCTCCTGCAACAACCCTCTGTAATACATGCTTTGCTGCTGAAAAATATTAGTTTATTTCCTTTCTTGATTAAAAAAACTGGTTCCAGCAGCATGACATTTCCTATGAAGAAACTGTTGGCTTTAGCAAGAGCTACNCAGAAAAACACAAGGAGAAGTTCAGTCCCTCACTGAGAACCACCCACATGTGTTAGGCAAAGAGACCACACGTATTCCTTTTTATTTAGAATCGGAATCAATCTGGCTGGATAAAAGATCCCAAGATCATCAAATCCAATTGTAAAACCAGCAATGCCTAATTCCACCAATAAACCCTCTCCCCAAGTGCACATCTACACACAGAGACACAACCACTTCCTTGGGCAGCCTGTTCCAATGCTTGACAACCCTTTTGGTAGCAACCTTCCTCATTCTTACAGGAAAGTGTGGAAAATGCTCACCATGCAGCAGTGACATTAAGTTAATAACTTAATAGTATAGAAATGAAGTTGTGGGAATTTCAGATTGAGGAAACAGTCAAAGGCAGAACTGGCAGCTGTCACACATTGAAAAATACATGCACTGCATGGCTCTAACACAGGTGATTTTCATGGAGGTTCACAGAGATGAGAAGGACTGAAAGATGTGGTCCAGCCAGTTTCTGTCATGTTCGCCTAAATACATCTGCACTTTCTAAGAACTGGCCAACATATAATGTGAATACTAATGAATATATAAATAATAGTGAATAGAAAAGCAAAAAAGATCTTTGTGACAACCTCATTGACTTTATAAATGGCAGCTCATCTGTCTAGGCACGAAGTGGCAAGAATGAGAGACTTCCATGAGATTCCTGAAAGACCCAAATATCACTTGGAGTGAGGCTGGAGCCATGCAACGCTTTTGCTAGCATGCAGAAGTCTTATCTTAGCCTGAAAGATGTAAAAATTGTTCTCCAGAAAGAGAGATATCAGACCAGAGAGTCTGCAAGAGTTTTTGCTTGACGGAATCGTATTTCTTGATTCAGATGACTGATCAGATATGTCCCTCTTTGTAAGGGTGCATTTAGCATTCTGCTTGTGTCCCAAAATATTTTTTGAAAGGCAGCCTTTCCTATATAGGGACCAAGGAATTATTCCTACAGGACAGCAGGACTGCAAATGCTAACCCAAGATCAGGTTGTTTTTCACAGGCCAGGTGAAGAGCACAGACATGCAATTTGGTTTGGAGGAAACATGATTATCATGTCCAGGAAGACAGAAGCTGAAGCAGCATGGTGGGTTGTTGCCTTGGGAAGCAGGAATGCAGCAGAAGAACAGGTAAACTCGGAAATCTGGAACTCTTTTTTCATAGGGATCATAAAACCACAACTTTGAAGGCAACCTAAGATGCCAATGACTTTCAAGATGATCTGAAGACAAAGGCCTCAATGGCCATAGGATGGAAAGCAGTGGTCACAAAGTGAAGCAAAGGAGTGAGACCTCGTGGGAGACGACCCCTGGGTGCCAACTGTAGGGGCTGATCTCTGGGGCCGTTCGGTGCCATCCGGCTGCTCTGGACCCCTGCCCATCCCAGCCTTTACGAGGACAAAAGGAAAATACTCGAGGCTCTCTTCTCCTCAGGACCAGAGCCCTACTTTATTCCTTGATACCTGTCACCTGGAAATCCAGGCAACATCCCTGGGGAAAAAGAGGAGGAATCCTTGATGGCGGGAGATTTTAAACTGGGCAAAGGAGGATGGAGGTAAAGAACCAGAGGGAATGGGATACAAGTGGGGA